TATCGAGTTCTACCATTACAACTGCATTAGTGCTTATTTGATTTTTCATGTTTAGAAAAGAAAAGCCCATTTGAATGGGCTTCTTAATATTTGTTTTACATAGTTGGATGCACGGGTATTTGTTGCATATATATTTGCATATATCTTCTTTTTGGATTGTTCATTTACCAGGATGTAGTGACTTTGTCTGTCTTAATCAGTCTTGGCTTGAAATCCACTTTGTCTGCAAATAGAATAGCTAACCCTGATTTTTTTCTGGGTTCCTGTCACATGGAGTATTGTTTTCCACAATTTTTCTGTCTAAATTTTTAAACTGTGTTTCTTGTATGCAGCATATTGTTGGATCTGCTTCTTGAGCCATTCTCCCAATCTGTTTCATTAGTGAATTGAGACCATTAACATTAATGGTTATAACCAATATGTATTGACTTATCCTTGTCATGTTATTCTCTTGTTGGTTCCTTTTGCTCTTTTTTAAAATTAATTGCCTTGCACAGTAGATTTATTCTATTGGGGCTTGTGCAGTTGTACTCCTTGTTATCTCTTTGTAGAATATCCTTCAGAACATTTTGGAGTACTGCTTTGGTATTCTTGAGTTTCCTCAGGTGTTCCTTGTCATGGAAGTATCTTATTTTTTGATCAATTTTGAAAGACCATTTTGCAGGTACATCAATCTGGGTTGGACATTGTATTTCTTTCAGGACTTGAAATGCTTCACAGTCCAAGCTCTCCTTGACTTGAGTGTTTGTGTTGAGAAGTCTGCTGTGATTCAGATGGGCTTTCCTTTACAGGTGACTTGTTTCTTTTCTCTAACAGATTTTAATATTCTGTTCTTGTGTTGAATTTCCGGAATCTTGACAATTATATGCCTTGTTGTAGATTTTTTTGGATGATGGCTAATTTGAGTTCTATATAACTCACTTACCTGTATGTCAAATTCTTTTTACCTGTTTGGGAAGTTTTCTACCATGACTTCTGTGAATAGATTTGTCATTTGCTCTACCTCCTGATTTTTCATTGACTCCAATCACTCTTATTTTTCTTTGCATCATCTAGCAGCTCCTGCATTGATTTCTTGTGATCTCTTGCTATTTTTAAGAAATCTTTCTTTTCATGATCTCTAACCACAATCTTGTCTTCTACGTCTGAAATTCTGTCCTCACACTGACTCATTCTGCTGCACATACTTTCAATCTCCTGGATATCTGTATGTATCTGTTTCATGGATTCCATGTCTTTCCTGTGTTGGGTGTTCATAGTTTCCATTACTTTGCTAAGCTCTATTTTTTTTTTTTTAACTTGCATCTGCTCTGGAGTCACTAAGCATGTCTTTTATTATGGTCACCATCTCTGTAGTTATGAGAAATTATTTCTGATTTGATTTTTTGTACAGCCTCATTCATCTGATTTGTTACTTCCACTGTTACCACTTCAGAGAGGCCAGGTAGGTGGTTTTCAGATTGTCCCACCTCATTGCCCCGTGGGTTGGCCTTTGGTGAGGTGGAAGTCTGGGGTTGCATCTGAAGTGTCTTCTCATTTTTTTTTTTTTAGTTTCACTCCTGGGTTGATGCTTATAAATTGCCTATGGCCAGTAGTTTTATTTTTTTGGCACCAGGAAATAAACTCATGATCTTGTGCTTGCCAGGCAGATCCTGCACCACTATATCCCCAGCCCATGGCCAGCAGCTTTATTGCTAGTATTTAGAACCCTTAGGAAAGGACTCCTCAGAGATGCCTTCCAGGTTTAGCTGGCTTTTGAGTTTTGACTCTATTAAAAAATTCTACTTGTTCAGTTTATTTAGGGATGAGACGTTGCTGCCCATTTGGCCTAGCCCACAGTTCTTTGGCACTGACATAGCATTTTTATGACCCTTAGGCAACCTCAGCCTTGGTATGCCAGAAGAAGAACTGGTTAGAACAACTGTCGTCTTGCCTACAGTGATACAGTCAGCAATAACAATAGGATCAAACACAGCCTAGAAAATGATAAACTGAGGTAACTATTAACTTGCCACCTTTAAACATGTGAACTAGATTTGTGGTTATATAATAAGAATCTAAAATGAACCAGAAAATTGTATGTAGTAAATAAGCCCTCAATATGACAATTTTATCCACTGGGGAAAAAATTTAAAAGGGTTGAAGAAGTAAAAATAGAGAAATAGAAGAAGAGGAAGAGATTAGAAGCAAGGCTGGAGGACAAAGGAACATCATGCAAACTTTGGGAAACATGAAGACAGGAGGAAATAGACAAAGAAGAGATGAAAACAAGAATACAATAACAACAAAAAAACTAAGTTGTGTTCACACTCATATAAAAACAAGAATAACCAAGAAAAAAATATAATAAAAAAGAAAATAAGAAAAAAAACTGTCCAGTTCAAGGCACGTTTCTGTTGTCACTGGTAGACAACGTGGGAAGAGTTCAGGTCTGAGTTGATTAATACCAGCAAGTTAGTTGTAGCTTTACGGTGGGGTACTGGACAATTCAGTGAGCTTACACCTTTATATCCACAGAAGTTCAAGCTGCTTTCTGCCTGTGAGGCTAGAACCAGACTTGTCTAGCCTACAGCAGTCCATGTGCCTCCTGCTGGCTTGAACTAGATTCCCTGACCTCTTGTTGACTTGCAATGGGCTCCATGACTTTGTTACTGCAGCTGTTCTGAGCTCAGTCAGTCCCTCTCCAAGATAGCTACTGGCCAATGGCCCTCTCCTGGGGAATGTCTAAACCCAAATAACTCACCAACCACTGTAGTCCACTGTGTGCACTGCTGTGTCCCACTGGTGTGCTTCTCCATGGAGGCCTGTGAGGTCGCCAGTAGTCACTGTGCCTCTGCAGGTTAGAACTGACCCTCCCATACAACGAGTCCAGGCTCAGGGAGAAAGTACTGCCTGCCACCTCCTTCATCTTTGTTGAAGTCTCTCTCTTTACCCTCCCTGTGGGCTTCAATTCTCACTTCAGATCCTTCCTGGCTTCTGGGGACTTACTTCCCTCTTTCTCTTCTTCATGTTGCTATATTCCAGTGTCTGGACACCAAATCTCAGAAAGGGTTTTTCTTTGCTGTTCACCACTCCGCCATCTCTGAGTTCTAACCTTTATATATTATATGCCCCAAGACAAATTCTTTAAGTGTTCTGACCTCCTGAATTATGTACAAAACAAAATGTAGAGTAACAAAATGCTTTCAACTAATATTGTAAATGTATTAATCTCTTAAATCATATAACGTAAACAGAAAGTACAATTACAAACCACTTACTTATAATAATACCCGAATCTGTGTAATTGCCCATGTACTTATAAATGACTGAGTGGTTTATTTTTTCAATGATTGTCCAGTGTCTTCTCATTTCACCATAGAGAACTCCTTTAGCATTTCTTGGATGGCAGCTCTATTGGTAATGAACTTTTCCAGTTTTTGTTTATTAGAGAATGTCTTATTTTCTCTCTTTTTTTTTTTTTGAGACATATTCTTGCTATGTAGTTAGGCTGGCCTTGAACTGCTGCTGATCCTCCTGCCTCAGCCTCCTGAGTGCTAGGATTATAGACATGCACCACCACAACTGGCTTTTCTCTCACTTTTGATGGGCAGTTTTGCAAGGTATAGGATTCTTGGTTCAGGGTTGTTTTTAACATTCTAATATATCAGCCCACTGCCTTTTGGTCTCCAATTTCTGATGAGAAATCTGATAATCTCAATATCTTTTACATGTGACAAATTACTGCCTTCAAAATTCTTCTCTGGCTTTCAAACATTTGATTATATATATGTGGTCTCTTAGAGTTTATCTTACTTGTATTTATTTATTTATTTATTTATTCATTTATTTATCCATCCATCCATCCATCCATCCATTCATCCATCCATCCATCCATCCAGGAATCTTAGGGTCCTATGCTTCCCAGGCAGGCACTATGGCACTAAGCTATATCCCTAGCCCTTGAAGTTTCTTAACTTTTTGTATGCTTACATTCATGTCTTTCATGCAGCCATTATTTCTTCAAACATTTTCTCTACATTTTCCTCCAAATGTATGTATGCTGGGTTGTCTTGATGTCTCCCCCACAGGTCCCCTTGGCTTGACTCACTTCTCTGCTTTTTTCTGTCCCTGAGATTCAAGAATTTCTGTTGCCCCATCTTTAAGTTTGCTAATTCTTTCTTCCGCCTGCTCAAATCAACCTCTGAATCCCTCTGATTAGAGTTCTTCATTTTAGTTAGTGTACTTCGCAGCTCCAGAATTTATTAAAGTTCAGACACCTGCTTAGATACTTTAAAAAATCATTCCATTTAAACCCAAGTTACTCAGTAAGAAGTAACAATGTAAAAAGTTTTGAAATTTTGCATGTAGTTACCTTTTAAAAGAATTCTTCATTACCAAATTAAATATCCTACTGCATGATGAATGCCACACAATGCTGAAACATTGTTATGGTATCCAATGTAATGAGAAATTCCCTAATCCAGTGATGGCAAACTTTTTAGAGACTGCCAAAACTGCAACGTAAAACCCACTTATTTATCCCAAAGTACCAACACTGCGATTAAACTTGAATATCCGATGTCTGGCTTCTGGGGCAATTTGGCTCATGCCCTCACAGAGGGGCTCTGTGTGCCCACTGTAGCACTCATGTCATAGGTTTGCCACTAGTACCATAATTCTTTAAGACCCAAGATTTATGTAAAATGATCTCAGATGAAAGGATATGCTCTTTCCTCTTCTTCCTATACACAGAAGGTATTATGTGCATGGTGTTCTGACATGCTCACTGGTCCTCTGTGAGAACTCTGCCTGGAAGGCCAAGGCTGGCTTGTGGTAGCAGCTAAGGAGATATAAATGCAAGTTTTCCTCTCTGTATGCTGCTTTGTGGGCTTATGCTCATCACTCTCGCAGAACTGCTTCTGAAATACATCAGCTGTGTTCACTATCTGCAAGTAAGTACAACTAAACATAGTTTTAAAAAATCTTAAAGTAGAATCAAGTAAAAAATGACCCATTAGAAAAATATGCACTATTTTTTATATTCTTAGTATAAAATAGCTTCTACAAATCAGTAAAGCAAAACAAAACAAAAACTTGAGCATAAGAACTGCCAAATCTGAACAGAACGCATCTAGTTAGAAATAAAAATGGTCATGAGAAATACATGAAAACAATTCAGCATCTAACTTTAATCCTGAACAAAAGTTCATTGCCAGCACTACTGAAAGAGGCCTCTTCCACACTGCCTTCTTGAGGACAGTGGGAACCCAAAACCCTTGGCACAGACTGACCCATCCACACAGGTGTGAGAACAGAGCCCAAGGTGGTCGTTGTAGTCTGGAAGTGAAAAAAATACATCTAAGAGGATGTCCACCAGATGATGCTGAAATAACACTGGTGTATGGCAAGAGTCGAGGCATACCTGCAGGTGGAGTCATTAACACATGTAAAGAGTATATGTAACAACTTTAACAGTCTGCAATTTATTGAGTACAAAAGCAGGTTATAAAATATGTATATGATCCTAATTTTGTAAAAAAAAATTTTAAAGGAAAAAGTAAATCCCTGAGAATATTTATGTCAATATTAATGCTGTTATTAGAGATAAGATTATAGGCTTTTTACTTTCTTCCTTACACTTTAATGTGCTTTCTAGATTTTATGCTATAAGCATAACTGCTTTTATAGTCTGAAAGAAATAATTAAAAGACATCTTATTTGGAGTAATTTTTAAAACCTTTCACACATTTCAAAATGCAGGATTACAAACAGTCAATAACTTTTATTAATATAATGATATAAAATATTTTAGTGTGATAGACATAATTCCCAGAGAATAATTTCAATACATTTTAGTACACTTCCTAAAATCTTAATTTACCAGATAGTGTCTTACTTCCACTGACCCTTCAATATAAAAAGTTTACAATTTTTGTTCACTAAAAAAACTACAACGTGAAGATTGGGGTTAGGTAGAAGACCGGGGGTTAGGTAGTTCTGTTTTCTTCTCAGCCACTCTATTGTAAAGAATGTCCATTAGTCCACTGTGAAAATCTCTGTATGCCAAACAATATGTTACATGGATTCTGTACATAATTACAACAGGATTATTAGAATTTCAGCCTGTTCAACATACTACACCACAGTCTAATGCCATGGACAAACAGGGCTACTGCACACAGTGCTATCTGTAGCCAAACCAGGGTAAGATAGGAGTTGGCCCAGCTGGCCAGACCTGCTGTGAACTAACAGCTATGATAGGCACTGATCCAGGCTAATTCCAGAGAAACCTGGCTGTTTTCTGTGAAGCATGCATGATTTATAACCTTTCCCACCATCAATGTCCCAAAAACCCAAGAACTTCATAACATACTCTTAATTAGCTATATAAAAATAATCTGTTTTAGATTCATGCTTGACTTCAATTTCTCAGAAGTATCCAAAGGATTTTACATTCTCTAATTTCACTTCTGTATAATAGTAGGTAACTTAGTTTAGTCAAGTTTGAATAAAATAACTAAAAATGGATTGCCAAATTTTATAGGCACACAATTCAAAATGCAAAAGCCAGTGAGGAGTGAGTGATACCATCTCCACCATCAACACAGGACAGTGGCTCCCTGCCTCTGCCCCCACAACTATATGGGATGCAAGGACAGCACGGTGGTCGGGAAACCCTGGACCAGTGCTTCCACATCTGTTGACCTGGGACAAAATCATTCAGTATACTTTCATGAGAAGAATGCTGTAATGTTATGAAAAGTAGCAATTTAACTAAGCAGGAGAGTGATTTAAAACTAGATGCTAGTTTATCTTTTTGAAACAAAGCCTCTAACTTGACAGTCCAAAATGGCACTAAGTGTTTCTGACAAAATATGTAGACAACTGGCACATCTGTCTCAATAATAGAACTGGCAAAGAAGCAGCACTGTGCTCAGCCACACTGCGAGAGGAGGGAGGGCAGGGCTCTAATTCCCGGTCTTACTGAGCTTGGCTCTGCCCCGTGCAACAGAGGAGGCAGCTGTGCTTGAGGCTTCTAGGTCCTGTCTATGATAAATTCCATACATAAACTTGCCATTTGAGGTGGGAATAAATAATTGAATTTTAGAAACCAAGAACGTCATTTTTAGCCTTAAAAAATGCGAACTTGCGGTACGGGAGAGAACAACTGCGGTATCTGTGACTTCTCAAGAGGTCACACCAGGTCTTTCTTCTTCTTCCCAGTCACTCCAGGGCTGGGCATGTCGCTCAGTGGTAGGCGCTTGCCTGGCATGCACTAGGCTCTGGGTTCAATCCCCAGAACCATGATAAAAATAAAATATAATCAATCAAGCTCCTGCTTGTTAAAAAAAATGCTGGCTTTCATATTTCTGTAAATGTACTTGGCAGATCCAAAATATTTCTTTAGTTGTGTGAAGTGTTTTCTAAAATGGGAGCCGAAGAACTGTTGAGAGGGATCAGTAAAAGCACAGGAAGGAGGAAACCCTTAATAAGATCGGACGCCTTTCTTCCAGGGGTGGGGACACCACATCTCCTGGCCTCACACCTTCTCTCGCTCCCTCCATAGGCTCCGCTGCACGGGGCTCACATATTGTAGGCCACATAGATTGGGTCCAGCTGATCGGCCAAGAAACCGTCCCTCAGGTGCATGCGCTGCTTCTCTCCCCGGGAATTGATAGGGATCACGCCCGGATCCACGATGACCACCACGCCTACCACTAGGTAGTGCTCCTCCAACACCACATTGGTCACTAGTGCCACCAGATCCAGGGCATCCTGCTCCAGACCATCCAGCTCCACCACCACCACCAGCAGATTGGTCCAGGTGAACACAGCACTGCAGGGGAGACAGGTGTCACATGGGCCTACATAGGGACTGAGGCTCATATGTTTGGGAAAGGGTGCCAAAAAAGTGAAAAAACTGGCAAACATGTTGTATTTTGACTGTACCTTGAGAGAGAGTCTCTTCATTTAAAGCTGATTAGGCAAAGAGAAAAAAACCAATGAAGGCAATGACACATACTCTAGTGCAGTTTTCTAGAAACATGTCCAGAGGAAGAACCTTCAGCAGCCAGGTCCCTCTTGGAGGCTGGTGATTCTAGCACCTTCAGGGAACAGGACTAGTCTAACATAGCAGTCTAGCTGTGCCAGAGACCACAATGACCATGCAGGAGGCCTGTCCTCATAGCATGAGAGTACCTGGCAGTGATCATGACCAGAGGAGGGCTAGGCAGACCATGTAGGTCCTGCCCTTGGCCTGGGCTCTTACCACTCTGCGATGCTCCTGTGAGCTCGGATCACAGATGTCTCAATGTCGATGGGGTGGTACCGCATGCCTCTCAGCTCAAGCGTCTCGTCCAGAGACCCAACAACATACAGCGCGTCGTGTCGCTCTATGAACACATATGCACACATTCAGGGCAGGGCACGCAGCTTTTGCACACTAGTGTCTGTGTGCTTGGGGGACACGGGGGACACGCTGTAAACCATGCAGAGGGGGTTGGTAGAGACGATGGCAGACCAGGCTGTCCTGTGCTGTCAGCAACCACCTCAGCAAAGGTACAACAATGTGTAAATACATATTTCAAAATCACTTTTATAAAAAAATTCATCTTTATTTCTGGAAACACCAGCAACCACAGGGGCTACTGAAAACTCTGAATTGGAAAGGGTGGTATGTGGCCTGCAGCCCTCTGACACTGGGCACCCCTCTGCATGGGGTGGCGTTGCGCCCCCACTCCTGGCTGGTGAGTTATGCACAGTGCTGCCACACTGGTAAACAGCTGGGAGACTGTACTGCTGGGGAAGACCCTTCCAGCCTTCTCACCACATTCTTACCAAGGCCAAGGGGACAAGGCAGTAAGGGGCAGACACACGAGGGAAAAAAGTAATTTTCAGAGAAAACTGCTCTTGGAGCATGTCCTTCACCCAAATGGAACCATGTAAGATCAGAGCAAGGAGGGAGGGCACAGGCAGGTAGGAGGGACTCTCATCCCCGGACACTTGGCTAAGCAAGCCAGGCTCCTGCAGCAGCACAACCCCGCCGACAGGAAGTACAAAGGCAGGCACTTCACCATGATCCCTCACCTCCACTGGCATCAGTGAGCTCTGTCCTTCGAAGGAAGCCAAGGTAGCCAGTCCTTGCCCAAACAGTCTGGGTGTCTCCAAAGCTCAGCCGGGCACTGAAGTGGTCAGCATGAAGTGCCTCCTCCCCATAGACCGTATAGTACCCAGTAGCATTGTGGGGGCTGCTCACCCAGATCTGGTAGGGACCAGAGGACAAGAACATGGGCATACTATACACCACGGAGTAGATTCTGTCCTGAGACACCTGTTGGCCAAGGATAATCTCAGGAGAATGTGAACCAACTGGGGGTGGTTGGGATTATTTTTAGCATCTTATTTTGGGAACTGTTACAATTTAGAGGCATAGAAAGCAAACATAACCACTCAAACACATGTTTGCTTCCTTTGTCCTGGGAATAGTTGTGTGTCAGCACTGATACTGTGTGCAGAGATGAACCCAGACTTCTCACATCAATCAGTGCTGAGAGTGAAGAGAGACCTAGGGCCACCCTAATGTTCACCGTGGGGACACGTTACAGCAATGAAGGTCACCTGTGGGGTGAGAACACAGCTGCTCAGACTCATGCTGAAACAGAGCAATGGCCGAATGGAGATGGCACCTGTGCACCTGTGCTGGCCACTCACACACGCACAGGTGAAAGGCCAGAAGAATGCATCCACAGCCCTCAGGTATGGGGCTCTCTAAACACAGGAGTGTTCAGAACCCAGCCAACAGCCCACACTCTTACCACCTCACAGGAGCATCAGAAGGGGCAGGGGAAGCCAGCAGAGGCTGCTCCCCTGAGCAGCTGCCATGAAGGTGGGTCCCTCAGACTCAGGCCTTCATCTCCTTGGGAGCCTCGCCTGCCCTTTAAAACTGCGTTTGGCAGGCTGTCCAAGTAGGATGAGGCTGTGACTACACTTCAGCCCCTCAGGTGGACTACACTTGAGACTGGGACAGGGACATCTTCCACCTGGATGCTATCTGCACACCTGGGAAGGCGAGTTCACATTGAGCCAGGCAGGGAAGGGTCTGCACTACCCACTGGAAACCCCTAGGCTAGCCATGAAGGAGACCCAAATAGTGCTATGCACACTGGGAGTGAGAATGGCCACGGGACAATATGCTTCAAGTCTCACTCCCACAGAATGCACAACTGGAGCCTGCCGACGCAGTCTGCACTTGAGAAAGCCACAGTGCCTACAGTTACAGGCCCTGGGTGCCACTGCGATGACAGGTATCACCCTGTGACTCCCTATGAGTGACAGGCTTTGCCTGCCCCGCCCTGTGACTGACAGGCCCTGACACATTCCGACATGCCCCTGCCCATCCTTTACTGACAGGCTGCATCCTGCCCTTGCCAGTGAGGGACTTTGTCTGTTCTGGATCATGGCAGATGCTTGGGCAAAAGTGCACATGCAGCCATAAATGTCCCCTGTGGACATGTCGTATGTCCACAGGACCAGGGTTCTGTCCCGAGGTTCTCCTGGTCCTATGCTCCTCGCTAGCACAGGAAGCACTCTTTACGAAGCAGTGATAGGTTCTTGCTCAAGGCAGCAGTTTCCCATGCTGCTGCTGCTGGTTCCTTAGAGATCCTCTGCCTCCCAGTGCCCCAAGGCTGCTTGCCCCACAGCACCCTAAACCCTGCCCTGGAGCTGGTCTGAAGCACAAGTGCTTGGTGAAAGCAGAAAAGTTTCTGGGATTCTGAAAGACATAACTGACCTCTAGGATTTAGAATTCCTGAATTGGGGGCAGGAAGGGAAGAAGGGCAAAGTTGGCAAGGCTGGAGGGCTCTCACGCCTCCCGAAGAGCCCACACGTAGCCTTGGCTGCCACTTACCTCACCCAAGTGTGAGTCTCCAAGGGGCCCTTTGGTTTCAGTGTGTGCGATGATGACCTTCACCCCAGGGAGGATCTGGAAGGAGGAGAACTGTTAAAGGCCCTCGTCAAAGAAAACATGGCACTCTCCTGACTCAGTGCCACTGCGTCCCTCAGAAGCTGGTTGGCAGGATGGGCTGGCTGCCTGAGGGAGACCAGGAAGTTCAGATGTCACTTAAAATTTTACTTTGAATTTTAAAGGAAATATGAGGCATTAATCGGTAGAAATAAGTTGTGAATTCTAGCAAAATGATCCCAGTTCCTGAGCATAAGCCCTGTCGTTGTCAGGAGGGGCAGAAGGTCTGGGTGAAGGTTTGCTTACCCTGGGGCTTTCATTAAGGCAGAGGACCCCTGGGTGCACCTGCAGCCCTGTCCCTGCAGGAATCCATGTCTGTGGGATCCACAGAGCCTCCCCTTCACCAGGAATCTGACTGTGGGGAAGTGTTTCCCATACTTGTGCGCCTCCCCAGCCTCCCACATCCAGGCCTGGTGGCCCCTTCCTAGGTTTGGCCAGTTGCTCTGTGTCCTCAGTTACTTCATGTGTAAAGCAGGAATGGTGACAGTGTGGGTCTCAGAACAGGAGGAAGGGAGCGAGATTAACACGAAGTAGGAGTCCACGGCTGGCACCAGGCCCTTCCTTGCTCCTCCATGTGTGAAGAGCTCTGTCTTCCATGATGCTGCTGGAGCCGCTACCCTCTCCCCATGTGAACCCCAAAACCCCTACCTGAACCCCAAAACCAAAGCTCAAAACCAGAGCACAGATTGATTAGGCCCAAGCAAAAGAGGGGAAGAGAAAAAAAAAAACCCCAGAGGCAAGTGAAACTGCACAACAGCCACATTCGGCAGGACAGGAACTTGCCCAAGTAGTTTCCAAGGGCAAGAGCATAGGGAGAGAATTGCAAAACTGCAAGGAGCACAAAAGCCAGCTTAGAAAAGAGGCTGGCAGCCTCAGTCTCCCCACAGATGGGCCACCCTCTGCAGGATCTGACTCAGCTCCTGCTAGTCCACTGAGAGCAGCTTTAAAGAGGGCTAGGGGTGAACTGTGCAAGACCTTGCCCTTGCTCACTCATTTGGCTCTAGCCACGTGGGCCTTGTAGCTTACACCCACCGCCTTTGCACAGTGTTGCCCCAAAGCTACCCCACAGCCTGTCAGGGATCCCTGTGCTGGACACTGTATTTCTGGCTGGCTCTGGCCCTCTCTCGGCACCATCCTGTCTCTGCAAAAGCAGCTATGGCCATGGCAGTGAGTAAGTGGAGTCAACAAGTTTTGCTCCTTGCCTCTTGGGTTGTGAAGATGCAGAGAGGCATCCCCCAGGTGCACCCGAGCCCTTGGCGTGCAATGGTTGCTGTGCCTAGGCCTCCTGGGCATAGCAGGTACATGTCACCAGCCACTCTACCAGCCTGGCACCCTTTCTCATGCTGTCTCATTGTCCTTTCGCTGGTTCCAGGAATGCCCACTCTGCGCCTGCGCCTGCTGGCCCTTGGCAGCGGCTCAGTTTCCACTTGGGCTCCTCATGTAGTCTCACAGCCCTCAACTTGTCAGCAGCCATTGGGGGCCTAACCACACGCAGACCAGCCCTGACAGCAGATCCTCTGTCATCCACAGCCCTGGGAAGATCTCTTCCTTGCTATCACTCCCATCCAGGGCATGAGTTCCCATCCCTCCAGTCCAGGGCGAGGGGCAGGTCAGCATGGGAGTTCTGACTTGCTTTGATTCTGACCTGGGCTAGTTCACCTCCCTAGGCAACCTGGTCGTCCCCTGCTCCCAGGAGGTCACTTTGACATCAGGTCATACTGATGTCGAACTTAGTGGGGAAACCTGATCAGCAAAGTGCTCTACAACCCACAACTCTTGGGCTTAAGCAATCCCCCGTCTCAGCCTCCTGAGTAGCTGGGACTACAGGACCACCACATCTACCAACACACCCTGTAGTTCTAGAAGTGTTGGTGAGAGAGGACCTTTGCTGCAGGCCCTGATCATTCATACCGGTCTCATGCCCACTCAGTGGGAGTTCCTTCTCTGTGTCTGGATTCTCCCTACTGGCTTCGATCCCAACCTGTGTTCAAAGACTTAACCTCACACTTCCAAGCACAGGCGGGGAAGGCGGAAGAAAGTTCTGCAGCACCCCATCACACCAGCCCAGAGACCGTGGGGCTCGAGGGGGACGGAGCCCAGCACCTCCTCTGTGTGACTCTGAGACAGAGGATGAACATTACAGGGAGCAGAGTCCCGAGTTCTACTACCTTTCCAGACTCCATCAGCGGCAGACTATGTGGAGAACCCCGTTCCACCAAACGTACCCTAAAAATTAACAAGGAAAACATTTCAGAATATAATTTTCAACACAGATAATAAGTTCTAAAAATGTAAATCACAAGGTGATTGGAAAATGATTATCATTCTGAGGGTCAGTATGTGAACAATAGCCAGGATGATAGCCTTTCATAAAAAAAAACTCACCAGGACCATCCTGAGCAGGACTTTTGGTGCTACTGGGAACACCACCAATGAAGAGAGTCCTGTGGTGTGGACATCCAGGTATGCCCCCACCCACTGGGCAATCTGTTTCTTCTGGGCCCTCCTCTACCTGTCCTGGCTGGGCCCTGGCACCCAGCCACTGTTTACATCAAGCTGTGACATGGCTACATCTGAAGATCCAGAATGGGGACCCACGTCTCCCAGCTGGCAGGTCCCTGAATACCACGTCACAGCCAAGCCAGAGCACACCACGGCCCCACAAATTTCCTGACGTGAGAACTATGGGAGAACTATGGCTGAAATGCCATCAGTAACAAAGTTCTTGCCATTAGCTTGCCATTAGTTGTCCTGTTTCCTACTTCTCCCCATGAAAATCAAATACCTAATGTTTGATCCCCGTTTCTGGTTGTGAGTGAAAAAGGATAAGGACATTTACTGCAGCTGTGAGGACACAAGAAAGCAAGGTGAAGCTTGGCACATGCCCAAGAGGGTCCACAGTGTTACTCCTCTTCACAGTGCCAATGGCCCTGACCTGGCCAGCCATCCACAAACATCTGGAAACCTGAGGCATGCTCACCTGGCCAGTCATCCCTAACACCCAAGGTCCTGGGCATCCCTGACCTGGCCAGCTGTCTACTAATGTCCAGTGTTGTGGAGATTCCTGACTGGGCTAGCCATCCCTAAAACCAGGGAAGTTCCAATCCAACCAGCCGTTCCTAATACGAGGATCTTGGAGGTACCATATACTGTTGGTACAGACCGAATCTGCAACACTCTGCTACTAGGTGTGGACAAGGCCATACAGACTGGGGAGGGATATTACCTGTCATGGCGCAGTGCCCGCATGTCCACGTAGACAGTTGTGGGGTCCGGGCCAGCTGTGCCCTGGAAAGGGAGCAGAAAAACTTCCTCAGGGCCCTCACACCCTCCTGGTTTCACAGCACAGATGTGGGCAGCTCCTCCCAGGCTGCGGGGTGCGTTCAGCCAGGAGGGCAGTGCTGCTCCTTGCAGCCATCTCCCAAGGCTCGGGGTCCCCGGGGTTGGGAGTCCTCAGGCACGGCTGACACTGTCCCTCTGAACACCCACAGGGCTTGGTATCAAGTGGAGTGTTCCGTAACACTGAATGGTAACCAATCAAACCATTTTCACTTCAGTTCTGATGACTTTCTGTTTTCACTGGTTTCACTGCGATGAAAACACCACTGTGGTTTGGGGGCATTTCTACCAAGCAGGGTCTGCCTCCCACTCCTGCTGGGGATGGAGCCCAGCAAAGACTCTTAGAGGAGACAGAAGGCTGATTCTCATCTTGACTTTTAAAGCTTCCATTTGACATTAGTCCTGGTTAAAGGACAGTATGTGCCATTTTATTGGATATACAACATCAGATTGAATGAGCATTCCAATCAACAGCACTCCCTGAAGATCCCAGCACCATCATGTGCACCCTGGAATTAAAACAAAATCCTCTGCATGGGCCCTTCCACCCAAAGTAATGTTACAAACTGCTGTTTCTGAAAATAGTGTTAATTTTAAATTTTGTCACAAAGGAATTTTATAATATGTCAAATGATGTCCACTATGAACAAAGTAAGACAATAAAAGAAACATGTATTTGTCTGGAATTCATGAGGTCACATGAACTCATGGGGCGGGGCAGGGGGTTGCACATAGACAAGCACCAGCAAGCTTGAGGGTGAGGTCAAGGTCGTACCTGCTCAGCCAGCTTTCCCAGCCTGTTGGGCTGACAGAGGCCAAGGAGGCCAGCAGAGGGAGACAGGGAGGAGACAGCCATAGGAAACACAAACAGAAGGCCACAGGCCCCATGAGAAATGAACGGAAAGAAAGAGCAAAAGACATCACTATATAAGAGCAAACACCGATATCCCATTAAGAGTTGTGCAGCCACACATGGCATCCACAGGCCAACAAACAGAACAGATGCCCTCCTGTACCTAGCAAGGAAGGCACTGGCTTCAGATGCAGGGCAAGATCTCAACGCATAGGCTCAAGCCTGTGTGCCAACCATAGGACAAACAGCAGATGGAACCCATCCACCCTCCTGAGGCTCAGAGCAGTCCAGAGCCTTTCAGTGCGTGAGAGGACATCAGTGAAAGGAAGACGCCATTGTGACAAATGTGGCCTCTGCTTGGAGACATGTCCTACATGTGCTGTCAAGCGAGGATAGGCATGTGCTAGGCAGATGCTGTGGGAACCCAGACAGGGCCATGGCTTTGCAGAGGGACAAGAGGGACCTCTTCCTCCTGCTGTTCTGCACAATATGTCAAGTAAGGCATCTGATATGTAGATATCTGATAAGCTGTTTGGTTTTAGGAAGTTTTGAGAAAGACGTGAGATAGACACAGGAATACAAATTCTGGAATACTGAGTAGGAAGCCTGCAATGAGCATGCCAATCCCTGAAATTTCCTTTTTCCTTTGTGTTTTACTACGGGTTTAAAAACGTGTTTGACTCAATATAAATGATCACATTTACTAGTGAACCAATTTAAAGTTGTTAGATGCCTTAAAACAGTAATTTCAATCTTGTTTTTAAAAAATTAACTGTATATTATGACCAACTTAAAGATTCTTTTTTTCTGCTACCGGGAATCAAACTCACGATCTTGCGCTTGCCAGGCAGGCACTGTGCCACTGAGCTAAATCCCCAGCCCCTTAAAGATGCTTAAGAGTAGAATGACACTATTCAAACACATTTGGTTGTTTTTTTGTTTGTTTGTTTTTTGTTTTGCAAATAAACCTTTCTTCATCAACAGAACATAGCTCTCAAAGCTAAACAACTATGTGGAAACAAAACATCAAATGCTCAGAGATGCAGAAATGGACCAGGCAGGTACAAAGCCACACAGGGTCATGAGGGGAACTGCTGGCCCCTGGCTGTGCTAGCAGGAGATGCTGCCAACCCAGGGGCATCACCTTACCTGGAGGCAGATGGCCACATTGACCCTGCATCCGAAGGTGGTGCTCACAGCACGCGCAGGGAGGCCCAGGTCCTTGAATAGCTTGGAGAAGGACTGCGTCAGTGCGATTCGGGGCCGCTCCTCTGCCACCACCATGCATGTGCGCACACACGACAAGTTCACACCCTTCATCTGCAGAGGGGCAGGAGTTGGCCAAAGCCCTGAGCACTGACCATCTTAAGAAGTTTCTGCATGGGACCACATGGGGCTTAGCCCAAGGTCTGAGTGCAAAAGTGAAGCACAAGCCTGTGTCCTTCACCTGCCTCAGGCTGGAAACTCTAAACAGGACAGCAAGAGCTACACCCTCTGGCCACGTCCCACCATCCAATGTGGTACACACCCTCCTTTTCTGCTGTGTGTGCAGCCAGAAGGAGGGACCTCAGCAGAGGCAGATGACCCCAGGGGCTGCAAGGAGCCACCTGGGAAGGAGGAGCCCAGACAGAGCAGCTTGGAGACACTGTGGCCCATAGCACCTGGCTGGCACTCACCCTGAGGGCACCCGTCTGCGAGCCCAGGCCTTTGGTGCACATCTCCATCACTGAGTAAGAGCAGAAGGTGACTCGGGCCTTGTACTGGCTGACGGCCGACAGCCACAGGGACACGTTGCTCTCCAGCTCCAGTGGGGGCACCAGCACTGACTGGTGTCCTGAGTAGACACTGTGGGGCAGACGACAGCTGGGAAGGAGGCAGGAGGCACTGCTCTTTCCTTCCTTAAGGACATCTTTTCTAGGGTATAAGCCTGCTCCAGAGGCTGGAGTAACATGTAGGTCCTGCTGCCCCTCTGTGTGCCGCAGACGAGGGACACGTACAAGGCTTCCTACTGCTGGTGGTGTCATCATCTTCTAGCATGTGAAGGACTCAAGTAGATTCTTACCAATGCTAAGAACAGATACTGTTTGTATTTAATAAAAAGTGCTCTTACTATTTACTCAACTTCAGACCCATACTCCCACTCACTTTATCCCCAAACAAGCCCAGTCTCACATCTCTTCAGCTTCCAGGGTGTTCAAAAAAGGGCATCTTAGAAGGTGAAATTCTGAAGAGCCACAGGAAGGGCTACAAACCACTCACCTACACAGACACCACAGGGCAAAGCCGAGGCCACAGTAGGGGTCCAGGCAGATGGCGATCTGCCGAGAGGGGTACAACTCACACTGCAGCTTTATGGAGCGACACAAGGCACTGGTGGCCGAATGCGACATCTGAGGTATAAAGAGGGGAAGAACGACAATGTCCCTGTGTTCAGCAGCCAGATGGGCCTGCAGCTCCATCTGCCAGGCTTCCTCCAAAGGCAGCCGCTCACATCCCAACATAACCTCAATAACTCAGGAAATGGCTGTGGAAATCTGTGAGACCAAGGAATTTTCATTGCGTTCTTAGCTCCTAGCAAGGAAACAGACTCATCAAAGCCACCTGTCCCTGGAGGCCTGCAGTCACCACTCAGAAAGTTTAGAGTGGGGGTGGTGAACCTACGGCACACATGCCACAGCAGGCTGTTTGTTATCACTGAAAACTCTAAAATGTTCCTCATCACTTGTTTAGACTTTACCATAAAACATTGTTCTCAGGCTAATCTAATCTGGGGGTCCATTAAGAAACAATAGTGTTCCATCAACTGATGAATTGATAAAGAAGATGTGCTATTTTTTATTGAATGGAGTACGACTCTACCATAAAAAAGGGTAAGCTTGAGATATTTCTAGGTAATGAATGCACCTTGAGACCATTCTGTTAAGTGAAATAAATCACATGTGTAAATACAGTATTGTTTCTCAGTGTGAAAAACTGAAAGTGTAAGTAAGGACCAAAATATATAACAGATATTGTGAAATATGAAGAAAATGTCCAAATGGAAAGGGGAACTGGGGAGAGGGAGGGGGAAAAGAAAGAAGGGAAAGGGAAAAAAATGATAAGAAGGAAAAAATGGAAACAAAGTTTTCTAAATAGGGAAGGGAAGCGGGGTTGAAGGGAGGGTAGGGGAATGGGAGAAAAACGAATCAAGTTGTATTATGTACAGGTGTTGGGAGTGGCAAAAGCTGGAAATTGGTCATATGTGTGGGGGTAAGACAGGGCCAGAGTGCCTAAAGCAGTCAAGCCACCTCAGTCTTGAGAAAAGCATCCTGCCTGGGCAACCATTAGTCACTAGGCAACCTTGTGCCTTGTGATACTAACTTTGCAGAGGTACAAACAAATGCCCCTACTGCTGTTGTGCAGGTCCTCCCATGTGGTAAAGAGGCCTCCACCTGACCCCAGCTTTTGTCTCTTGTCTTTATTTTCTAAATCCCCTCACCATTTTCCCTCGGGGACCACCAAGAGACCAACGAGTCCCTACGTACAGGTACAAATTCCCTATGATGAATGTAATCATTATATATACCTAAAATGTGGAAAAGGATATTCAATAGTTTACCTTACAATGTATAAACTATATGGGACTTTGACTCTGACCAGGCCATATGATTGTTTGTTCTGGAGGAAGTCTAGCAAAAGCTTAGTGTTAAAGGAAATGAAAACGGGACCTTAGTCCCAGTGGAATGCTGCTGGGACAGCATGAAATGTTTTGCTAAGATATGTCTGAAGGAGCGGTAGCATGAAGGCCAGGCAGGCCCAAGTACAGTTCCTGGGATAGTTAAACTATAATGTCCTCACTAACTTTGTTACTCATTCCTCCCATTTCCCCTATTCCTGTTTTATGTTAGAGAATCTTTTTTTTTTTTTTTTTTTTTTTTTTGGTTTTTCTCCGGTACCGGGCACTGAACTCACGACCTTGCACTTGCCAGGCAGGCGCTTTTGCCGCTGAGCTAAATCCCCAGCCCCTATGTTAGAGAATCTTAATAAAAGGCTGGAGAATACTGCAATCGAGGCTTCAGTCCTAGAGGCTGTAGCCCAAGATCCCATAACTCTGTCTCTCGTTTTCTTTTCATCTGCCACACCTTACTTTCGGGACTCTCACTTCACAGAAACCAACACTAAAACGTATCAATAAATTTAATTAAAAAAAAAAAGAAACCATACTGTTGTTCTGTGCCCTAGACAGGAAGGACTCACCTACACTGCTCCCCACATCCCTCCTGCCCACTCCTCCACGCTCCAGGGCGGAGGCCATCAAGGCTCCTGAGGACCCACCTTCACTCCCGCTAATATCCCAGTGGTCGACACACTGAAGTCCAAGTATGCGAGCACATCTGGGGAGGATGGTCTGAAAATGCTGGCCAGCTTCTTTTTTGGTATGTCATCTGTTAAACAGGAGACACCAGTGAGATTAGCCACTCTACAGAGTGCGGCTGGGGAGCAGGAGAGAGCTCACGCTGGCCAGGCTGGGAGACGGCAGGCTGCATGTGCGCTGGGCAGCTCACTTGCATCCTCACAGATGTGCCAACCGGCCTGGCCCGCCAGGCCTGCTCTGAGCATGTGCTGGCAAGGGTGGTGGGGGAGAGGGACACAGAGGAACAGCTGCAGAAAGCTACTCCATTTTCTAAGTAAGGAAAACGTCAGAGGATGAGGACCTGCCCCATCACACAGCCCAGAACTCCCACGATAGCAAGAGCACCATAGGGGAACCGGCTCAGCTGCTTCATCAAGTTCCAACAACCCTGTGAGGCAGACACTGCTGCTGTCTCCATGTACAACCAGACACAGGTCAGCAAGGGCCACAGTAAGCCCTTGAGGCTGCAGGATCCAGGCCAGCTGGTCTGTGCTGAGCCTGCCTCTCCACCGACCCCAGCCACCCCAGCACCAGCTCCCCAGGCCGACCAAGGACCAGGCACGTGGAGCAGACCATACAGGCTCTGACTTCTACCAACACAAACAGTATGAGGGGATGGATGGAGTCCTGTCTGCCTGATGGCCACACTCTGCCAGTCATGGGCAGTGCTGGCAGGTACCGCTGGGTGAGTGCTTCTCCCTGGACAGGCAGTTCTACGCCCAGCCTTAGGTGGAGACACTCATTAAGCTGACCCAACTGCCTGGGAAGAGGGGTTTCAGCCTCTTCCCCATTGGCCCACAGGCATCTCAGGGGCATGGTACCGCTTACCAGTGACGGTGCTGAGGATGCAAGGGGAACTGTATCTCCAAGGGATTGGCAGAAAGCTCTAGATAACTTCTAGCCCGCTGTGCAGTCAGGGCAGAGGAGAAGGGCAACACACTGGTCCCCACCCTTCGGGGTACTGAAAGGAGAGTTCACCCCCGAGACAGGGACCCTGCCATGTAGGAAACAGCAGCACCTAGTATCTCATGTATTCTCTGTCTACCCTAGCAGACAGATCCCAGGGTCCATATCGCACCCTTCTCACCATTCACTGAAGCTGAAACATTCACCTTAACATTTAAAGTCTACAAAAAACAAAGAGAAGGGGTCTGTCCCACAGGGCTGTCTGAGGACACGTACCTGTGTCAAGAATGGTTGGCCAGGTCCTGATGTCCACAGCAGCAGCTGCCTCTTTGGACTTGAGCAACCTTGTGATGGCCAGCGTGGTGAGGACACATGCAGACTTGCTGACCTACGCCCACAGGGAGGGAGACCTGGGTTAGCTTTGCCCTTTCCCCACATCACCCTGCAGAGTTAAGGACTCACCCATGGCCCGTGGCCTCCCACCCGAGACCTCAGTCGGCAGCTGGGAGAATGCACACCTCCACGATCATCTTAACGGTGGGCAGTGTGGTGCTGAGGTTCTGGGGGTGTGGGGGCCGCACAGTGACAGGCACACAGCCGCAGTACAGGCAGCCATAGAAGGCGGCGATGAGGTCCACCCCTGGGGAGATGCAGCAGATGGTCACCACAGGGCTCAGTGTGTGGGTGCTGACATCTAGGCCCGGTGAGGCCCAGAGAGATCAGCAGAAGTCAATCACAATTTTCTTGTGACACAACAGATTTGGCCAGCGCTACACCCTGGAGGGCCTAATGCGGGCTGGTCACAGGATGGGGTCTGAGGAGTACACAGGCCCTCAGGTACTGCCCTGCACAGCAAGAGGGAGGCCCTGGCTGAGGCTGAGTGGGTCTGCACACACACATCCCTGGAGAAGCTCAGCACCGCAAGGGGCTGGGTGGATCTGCACAGACTTAGAGAACCTGAGACAAGCTGCTTGCAATGGAGCTTCTCATGGCCACCACAGCAGGAGGTGCTGCACCTCCAGACAACCCAAAAGACTGTGAGAACCCTGGGGACAGTGAGGACTGGTACTGACCCTGGATCTCCTGCTCCCTCCCCTACAGCAGGCCAGAGATGACCTCGTACACTCTTCTGGCTTTTCTATATTGAAGATTCCCCATAATTAAAACTTGGGAGAGTCATGTCATGCTTAAAACCTGTTTTCCAGGGTCAGTCTGATGGGAGAACACATTTCCCTTGCTCCTTCCTACTGGTGCCCTCTAGCACCAAAGCCTCTCTAGCTGCAGTGGAGTCAGATGACTCCATACCACCCTCACACACCAGCTCCAAGGCTAGTTAGAACATTTACAAGAAAAGTGGGCCATGAAAGAGACATCTGCACCTGGTATTCCGACCCTGGAGGCTTCACCCGGTTATTGTTCCAACGTCCGTGCAGCTCCCTCTGGCAGGGCAGCTCGGCAGTGTGCAGCAAGAAGAACACAGACACTCTGCTCAATGGCTCAACCAACGAGCACTATGCCAGGAACCCCTTCCTGGAGCCCAAGGGGCTCAGGCCCTGGCACCCTGGCAAATGTAGCAGGAACTCAGTTCCCACACCCTGCTTCTCCAGCTAGTTCTAAACCCTAGGTCATTCACCCTCTGAGGGTTAGTCCTCACCCCACACTAAGAAGCACACATCACACCTGCTGTGCATGTCTGTACCCAGCTACCTCATTTTTTGATTCAAGTTTGGGAGCTGAGAATGTAGCTCAGCAGCAGTGCTTGCCTAGCATGTTTAGGGTCCAGCAGTGAAAAACAAGTTTTTTTGTATGAGTAGCATCAAACACACCCAAAAGCAAAGAATATTATCAGGCCTCCCAAATTTACCATTCTGAGTCTCAGTTATCAAGATCATACAGATGGTCCCTCACAGTGGGTCAGCTTAGGGTTTTTCAACTTTACAATGGTGCAAAAGCAAGGCATGTTCAGAAGAAACTGTACTTTGAATTTTGATCTTTTCGCAGGCTAGTGACATTCAGCATGATCTTCCCTCCGGGCAGCTCAGAAGCAGCTGCACTGCAGCATGCTGTGCTGCCACAAGAGGGTGTGTGCTAGGTCAGGTCTATGCGATGTACTTCCAACTTCCAATATTTTCAACTTATGCTGGATTCACCGGACATGCCCCCATCACAGTCAGGGAGCCTTTTCTTCTGCTGCTTTTCGTTTGCTGAAGTATTTAAGGCCATGCCCTCACATCCTGTTACTGTAGCCTGGCCCCTCCCTGAGAGTGTGTTCAGGCACCACAGCCCCAGCCCTGGGTGGGAAACGCTTCTATCCTCCCAGGCTCAGTTGGTTCTGCTCTGCTGCTCTGGATGGCAGGACTGGGAGCTCCAGCTTGGCCACACTAGCACTTCTTGGAGACTCTGCCCCTCTCAAGGCCACCCTGCAGTGTAGGGCTGCACGAAGCCCCTGAGGCATGCCTGGCAGCTGGGCTGCATGTGCAGAGGATGAGCTACACTTACCCCTGGGGAAAGCAACCCCATGGATGGGAAAGAGCAAGAGGACTGTAATGGTGGTGGGGACTCTGGTGTCCAAATGAGGATACAGCTGATGTCAAGAAATACACCCAGCTGCCACCATGCCAAGGGAGCTCTGAGACTGAACAGGCGACACGTCTTGCCTCACAGCAGCCCCGAGGGAAGGAGTCCACTACGCAGGGTATGCCACATGAGCTGCAGCACCCAAGAGATAAAATAAGAAAGGGGTGGTCCCTGCTGAACCACAACAAGTGACACAAAAGATGAAGCAAGGACATGAGCAGAGCGCAAAAACACACACAAAGGAAGCCAAGACAGAAAGGAGCAGAGACCTGGGGCAGATCCAGAAGTGAGCCCCGAGCTCCAGAGACAGAGAGGGCAAGGGCAGTGCTGGAGCAGAGCACCAGGCAGTGAAGGTGAATGTGGAGGGTTCACGTGTGAGGAAATTAGAAAACATCACACACAGGCACATCTTGATCCCTAAGGGGAAAGACAAACTAATGTGCTTCCAGCAACACAACACATGCACACAGGAGACACGTGAGACTGCATTATCACCCAAACAAGCACCGACACACAACCACCAGCCACAGGGTGACACAGCAGTGACAGAGAACACATTGGTGTGCATCACAGGTGCCACATCAGGGAGAGGAGAGCTACTGGACAGGAGCTGAGCAGCCAGCACTCAGGCCCAAGACCCAGTGGGCAGTGCCCACCATGTCCAGGCCTACCTACCCACAGGACGAGACTCCAGTGCAGTGCCCAGCAGCACAAGGCCTGTTTCCAGGATGACCCCAATCATCACTAAAATGCCTGTTGAAGAGGACCACGCAACCAGGAGAGGTGCCGTCCCAGTAGAGCCCACCCCCTGCCCAGTCTTTCTGGGGCCTGAGAGCCCTTCCTTGGCAATGGAATTCCTAGGAAGGACAAGGTGCTGGGCTTTTCCATGGGACCAGCGTCCTTATGGACAAGCAGGCCTCAGGCTTTGTCCTTCCTCACTTCTGGTAGGGAACCGTGGCTTTCCCTCTTCATCCTTCCCTCCGAACACCCTGAGAGCTGGAACAGAGCTTAGCTCTTCCTCCCATTGTCAGTAGTTACTGAATAAAACCTGTTTTCACCATTTCAGCTAATGTCTGGCTGTGTTTATCTTTGAGCCAGAGAAGGAGAGAGGACAATGGATGCCCAGCAGCTGGGGGAGGAGGGAGGGTTGGGAGAGGCAAGGGAAGGAGGAGGGAGGGTGAAGGGAGGAGGGCAGAGGAGGAGAGAGGAAGAAAGGAGGAGGGAGGAGGAGGAAGAGAGGGTGGAAGAGGGAGGACGGAGGAGGGAGGAGCAGGAGGGAGGGTACAAGAGGGAGGAGGGAGGGCAGAGGAAGAGGGGGGAGGAGGGAGGGCGAAGGGAGGAGGAGGGAAGAAGAGGGAGGGAGAAGAAAGAGGAGGGAGGGAAGATGGAGCAGGAGGGAGGACAGAGAATGGAGGAGGAGGGAGGAGAGAGGGAGGGAAAAGGGGGGAGGGAAGAGGCGGGAGGGGCATCCAGCGGGCACGGGCGCTTTGTCCTGTATGCAGTGGGGTCTGCGCAGCTGGGAGGGAAAAGCCCTCCACTCACTACTGGTGACAAGGAGAACCTGTGAGATGAAGCAGACCCTCAGCTAGGGAGAAGAGAGCCTGGGAGGGGTGACAAAGAGGCAGAACGGAGACAGGAGCCATGCAGCAGGAACAGCTGACCCGAGTGGGGAGAGGACAAGGCAGAGAAGCTTGGAGAACAGGTTGCAGTCATGTAAAAGAATGCAGAACAGAGAGCATGCCTGCTCACACAAGGACAGTATGGTCGAGAAGCCCACAAAACACAGAACCCTAACCATCCACTTCAAAGTGTGTTACAGTGCATGAGGAAAGTGATCCACAATGCAACAGGGCACCAGAACAGAACGAGAATCAGAAAAAGTCTGAGACGAAGAAAGAACTAGATGATGTTTAAAAAGTCATTTCAAAATGGAGATAAAGCTTAAAGAGCACAAAAACAGATTTAAGATAAAAAAGATGAAGAAGAGACTTTAATGCTCAAAATAAAGTTTAGCAAGAAAGAAATGTCGAAGAGAAGTGAGAACCACTGAAGACGTGACAAAGCTCTCACTCAGGGATCGGAGGGACAGAAGCAGAAGGCAAAGGAGGAATGCACGGCGGGAACCTGTGAGCTGAAGCAGCTTTCTGGAAGCAGGCACGCCTTGAAGAGCCACATTCAAGGCCCCATAACTTATCAAGGAGTCAGTCTGAGAAAGGGCCTCAGAACACAGCATGGCCAGAGCACAGGAAGATGGCTGAGGGGAGCATGGGGCATAGCTGTCTGTGGAACTGAACCCCAGTGAGGGTGGAGAGAGATGGAACGGCCACTGAGACAGTCAGACAGAAGGGGGCGCATGAGCACATGCCGACATTTTCAACTTGTTCTCGAGAATCATACAGGTGTTCACAATATTGCCACTGTTATTTCAAAAGAAGACAGAAGAGAGGAGCTACTGCAGAAGAGGCTGAGTAAAATCCTACAGCTTTGAATTTGCACTGGAGGCAAAAGCATGTGCTCAGGGCTGACCTGTCTCTAGGGGACATGATCGTAGGCCATGGGTTTCCCAACTGCCCAGGTTTTGTGCTAGAGAATCAGAGCCAGGCTCCCTGGAGAGATGGCGGCTCCCAGCTCTTGGGCCAGAAGGCACAAGGTGAGCCTGAGCATCTGGCCCCTGACAGCAAGAAAGCACCAGGGACACTGATCCTACCCAGAGGAGGCACAGGTGGCCACCTTCAAGGGAGGGACTGTTCTAGAAGGTGGGGAGGGGATATCTTGGGTGTGCGCTTACCTGGGGGATAGACCAAAGCTACGTGGTCCCCAGCATCCAGTCTGCCCTTCTCTATCAGAGCGGCAGCCACCCGCTCAGCCCTTTTGTGCAGCTGGACACAGGTGGCAGTGCTGGTGACCGTGCCCTAGGAGGCAATCAAGTCCATCAGTGTGCAGAAAGTGCATACAGATACCTGCCCTGGAACTCTGCCTACGAGACGATCTCAGTCCCTGATGAGCGCTGGTGCTGTCAACTGTTGGCAGTAGAGGGACAGGGTCCCCACGGGCCCCCAGGAAAGCCTGGAGGGGCACACTGATCCAGAACAGAGATGTGTGAACAGACCTTTTGGATAAAATATTTCAAACACAGGCTGGGCATGGTGACATATGCCTGTAATCCCAGCACTTGGGAGGCTGAGGCAGGAGGAATGTTCAAAGCTCCATAATGAGTTCAAGACTAGCCTGGTTTGAACTTGTTTGAGACAGCAAGAACTTGTCTCAAACAAAACTAAACTAAACAACCATTCAAACATAACAAAGAATAGCCACATTCCTTTAGTTCTCTTTTTTGAAATAAATCCTCATCGTGCTTAAAACCACCTATAAACCACTTTCCAATTCATCTGCTCTCTTCTCAGAAACAGGCATTATCCTATGTATAAGACAAATAAATAAACAATCAACAACAAGTAAACATGTCTAACTACAGCATTTTACACCACAATGCTGGCCTGTGCAACATGTGCTCTGCAGTTGCAGCAGATCACCTGTCCTGGGCCTCTGCTGGGGGCATCTGAACTGTGACCCTCTTGGTACAGACTCTCTGTAACTACCTTCCTGGGACAGGCAGGCCTCACAGCCTTTAGTCCTTCTTAAGAAAATGACAAGCGCAGTTCAATCTAGTAATTACAAAACTCTGGGTAACACTACAACTCCCACCGCTCAGCGGGTAGATTCTACTGACAGCAGGTGGCAGAGGAAGCAGGGATGGACCTGTCCTCGGTGCTCAAGCTCAGAGGTGAACGCTCATGCTGCACAGGTCTCAAAGAGGCATCAGCCTAGGTGAGGGTGACTGCCCTACAGGCATAAGACTGCAGCCCTTACCGCAGCAAAGGGCAGCATGTCCTTAAGAATGACTTCCAATGAAAGCCTGGAAGATGGGCTCACTGGCTCCAGAGCTCCGTTGTGTCCCCATAGTGGGCCTGGCTGCATCTGTGCTCACCCCATGCCATGGCTGCCATTTCCCTGGTGAAGACCCGACGTGCGCTCAGAGTCGGACTCCACACACTCATGCAGGATGCCCAGAGTCCTGAAGGTCCTGCCTCTGACCCCCTGCTGCTGACTGAACTGCCATCCAGTGTCTCACTGCCACAGGCCTCAAACTCTTACAATCCATAGAAGCCACTCATTCATGGGCAGCATCACGTCCCTGGCTGCTCAGTCTTGTCCAGGTCACTGCACTACACCCTTGGGATAAAAGCCGAAACACACCATTCCAGCCCACCAGGCCCGACTCTGATCCCACTGCTGACGCAGCCCACCCCACAGTCCCTGCCCTCTGCCCCACAGACCTTGGCTCTCACTACAAGCACACTATCACTTGGCTGACCATTACTCCTGCTGTCTGCATGTCTTAGGACTCAGCTGGGAAATAAATGTCCACTGAGGTACAGCGGGGGAGCAAGGACAGCCCTCAGGCTTGACTTCTCCCAGACAAGCTATCTTCTAAGTGTGCTGAGAGCAGGGCCCTTTCTACTTGTTCAACAATGTGCACACACAGTGGGTACCAGAAAGCACCTCTGAGTGAGTGAGCAGCCCCAGCCTTTCCTAGAGCAGGGAGACCAGCGTCTGTGACAGGCTCAAGCACCCATAGTTACATGAGGTGGCCAGCAGGAAGTCACACAGGCTTCCGCACTGGGGCTTCTGCCCAAGTCTGGGATGTGAGGGCAGCAGCTTCTCACACCCTGGATGCTCCCTGTATGGAAGGAAGCGCTAACAGGCACTCAGAACACTTGAGAGAGAATCTGCCCATCAGCAGGGTGGGGGCAATAACCAGTATCTGTCATTTTAAAGCTATAAACAAACGTAAAAAGGCTCAATGCCTAAGTTTTACAACGTAAGTATTTCCTTTTAGTTTACAAATTTAGAAACAGCTAAGGTATACTGTTCTTAATTTAAAAATGGAGCTAATGAGAATTTTCCTGCCCATACAAAAATCAATAGAAATGACTCTGTGTAAACTACAAAAAGCAACAGGGACGCCACAAGGAAAGGAGCTAGCAGAGAGCCCCACCAGATGTAGCTGAAGCCTAACAGGTTGCTCTTCTCCAATATGAGGGTGACAGGGACACTGAGAAGACTACCTGGAGAGGCCAGGATCCCTCACCTTGGCATTCAGCAGCAGGAACAGCGCATGGTCAGGGGTAGTGTGTGCCCGCCACTGCAACACATCCGCCAGGAACAAGAACTGCAGAAGAGGGGCTCAGCCTGTGGCTGCCTTCTTGGCCCGTGGCCCTTCTACCACCCCCCAGGAACTGCCTGCTACCTTCCGTGCCTGGTCACTGTCCTCCAGGTGGGCCAGCTCTCTCCCAGAGGCCTGTGCAATTCTCTTTCCAGCAACCAGGTTCCCAACGACCATTGAGGCTGGTCCAACCTCTGGAAGAGAGTTCCGAGAGACAGAGCTGACACAGTCTAATCCAGAATCACCAAGGAACTTTGTTACTGTGAAACACACCTGATTAGCCATTTACCTCTCCTCTCAAAAAATGTATTCAGAAAACCAGCTACAAGACTTATGTTGTGTGACAAAGAGAACTGCTCTCTTAGATATAAACTCTGTCACAATGAGAAATTTACTATGTGACATCTTTCTTGGGACCTCAACCAATTTCTTAATATATTTTACTGTTTTACTATATTTCATATATAAGTCAGAAAATTATTCCTGATAAAACCTTTTATTTAGTGATATTTTATGTGTTCAATAATCTGCAAAGAAAGTTAGCTTTCAATAAAAATTTACATAACTAAAATAATGACAAAATACATGTAATAGTTAAACCATTTAATAGTTAATAGTTAAACCATTTAAATAGTTAACTATTTAAATAGTTAATTTTTTAGATGTATAAAATCAGGGATAGGAAATTGACCACTGAGAGACTTCCAACACCCTATCAACCCTGTGGCTGTGGCACTTACAGGGCCCGTGATAGGAAGCTGGTTCCTGAGGAAAGATGGGCTGGCCCAGGGCAGAGAGTGGCCAGCAGAGGTTCCTTAGACCCCAGAAAACAGGTCTGCTCCTGGGCATCATGTCTTTCCCAGAGCCATCTACTGGCTGTGCAAGGCTCAGGTATCCTCCTCAAATTTACCATTAAGAATCCCTAACAGCAGGTAAAAACCACCACACAGATCAAATGGCAAAGTTCCCTTGGGGCTCTCTTCCAGGAAGACAGGATAGCAGCCAATCTGGCGCACACACTTACGCTGGTCCTAAACCTCAGCCCCAAAGAAGTGGGTATTACCACTGCAGAGTCTGTTGGGGCTGTACCCTTGATCCACGATACTTGCTACCACCAACTTTAAGAATGAAGGGAGTCCTGCTGTTAGGTACAACTCACCTGGTTGCTTCTGACGAGGTTTGGGAAGGTTGGTGACACAGGTGTGTGGGCACATCAGCACATTACATGGATGCAGGGTCCCTTCCAGGAAGCGCTGTTTGGTTTCTGAAACATGAATCCCTCCAAGAGGAGCCTTGGGCAAGGTGTTGGCCGGAACCAGGGCCAGACAGTACACGCCCACCTGGTGAATGCTGTCGATGGCCTGGAAGGGAAGGGCCCTGATGGGCACATGCTGCCACCCAAGGAGGTAAGAAGTGTGGGTACACCATGCTGGACTTGAAGCCATAGGCCCAAGGGATAGTGACTCCTGGAAGATTTAGGTGAGAAAATGTGGCAAGAAGTATGTGCCACTTTCTATGATGTGTCTAAGAAAAGAGAGACGCCACTGTGTACACATACACCCTACCCCTACCCCTACCCCTAAGTCTATACTGCTATGTTAAAGCTCAGCAGCCACGACGCAGCATCAAGCAGCACCTCCTTTCCTGCAAGAGAGGAGTGAGGGACAGGGACAGAAGCCAGATGTACCTGAACATCCTCATGTCTTGATTTGGAACCAGGCCTATATTTTAAACACAACCAACTTAAAAATTTAAAAGGGAATCCCTAATGACTGAAAGTAAAATAAAGCAAATGAATTTGACCCAACCACATGCACTGGTGGCACACTCAAGAGGCTTGGTCCACTGTGACTCTGCAGTCTCAACAGCCACCCCCCCAAGAGGGGCATGCAAAGGCAGAGATCTGCAGAACTGTGCGAGTGGCTCTCAGCTACTGTTTGGAGGTGGCATGAAGACCACCACTTTGAGGCACTAAGGGTACAGAGGGGCTTGAAGTCACTGAGTGATTCTACGGCAACCACCAGTGACTACGGTATTTCAGCGTGAGGCCTATAACTTAGAAGAAATCCCTGTGGTCCTGAATTTCACTTGAAACTCTCAGCATAAAGATGGGCTGGCCCAGGGCAGGCAGTGGCCAGCAGAGGCTCCTTACACCCCAGAAACCAGGTCTGCTCCTGCAAGTGCAACGTAGACAACATGAAGTGCACAGACAGTGATCTCCAGCTCCTGACTCCAGGGGTTGGAAGGAAAAACTGATGTGACAGTCCAGCACTTAAGCCTCCTATTTCTACAGGGGCCTCACAGATTCCAAGAAGTGTCAAAATGCTCCCACTGACTTTTATTCTTACTTTTGTGTGTGGTACTGGGGATTGAATCTAGAGCCTTTACACTAAGCTACATCCCCAGCTTGCCCCCCGACCCTTTTTACAACATTTTTTGAGACACAGTCTTGCTAAGTTGCCAGGGTGGGCCTCAAACTTGTACTCCTCTTGCCTTTGCCTGCCAGTGTGTGGGGATTACAGGCATGCATTACCAGCACTGACTCTCCCACTGACTTCTGGAAAGTGAAAATCACGGTTACTATACACTAAAACACAGCCGATGGAACAAAACAAAGCTTAGGGGTCACTTCTAGAGGACTCAACACTGAAGTTCACTGCCATCTGATTTCCTGCACAACCTGCCCTCCAGGTACCTAGCTGGTAGCTCCACTTAATCAAAGAACAACAGAATCAAAGTCTCATCACTATGAAATCATGAATCACAGGCAGAGGACATTGGTGTCCCAAGCAACAGGGGAACCACCGAAACCTTCCAGGGGAAATTTTGCCGAAAGACTGGCTCTGACTCCAATCCAACTTCCAGATCTGCCCACCAATAAACAGAAACAACAGGACACTGGACACATCAAATGACACTCAAAGGTGCAATCCTGAGAATGATTTATGACCTTATTTTAAGTCTAACAAACTAATCATTAGATGACTGGGGAAATCTGAACAGTGACCAGATACCTAACTCCACGATCACTGTTAATTTCTAAGATGTGCTAATGGTACTTCTGTGGCACAGATGATGCCACATGCCAACCACAGAAGCAGGGTAAGGGGCGGGGCACTCCAGCACGGCTCCATGACATCCACGGCATTGCACAAATCCAAAGCTCTTCAAGCTACTCCCCTTTCTCAGGCACTGTGGGGAGGGCATCTGCCAAATGCCCACCTGTAGTACACGGCTCATCCATTGGAAGCTGTCCTCCTCTGAGGCATCAGGCCGCTGCTCTGCTACAAGGACAATCCGGTCATCATGCAGTACAGTCACAGAGAACACAGCGATCCTGAGGGGGATGAGGAGAAGTGATCACATAGCAAGAGGGCACAGGAGCTTCCCCTTGAAATGGAAGAAACACAATGCACAAATGTCTATCACCCTAATACTCTTCTCAAGGTTGGCTGAAATAAACTTTAATCCACTAGCCAGGCATGGTGGTGCACGCCTGTAATCCCAGCACTCGGGAGGCTGCGGCAGGAGGATTATTGCGAGTTCCAGACCAGCCTGGGCTACAAAGTTGTTTTTTGTGGTTTTTTTCCCAGGTACCGGGAATTGAACGCACGACCTTGCACTTGCCAGGCAGGCACTGTGCCGCTGAGCTAAATCCCCAGCCCTGTGGGCTACAAAGTGAGCTCAAGGCCAGCCTAAACTGCATAGCAAGACCCTGTCTCAAAAAAAAAAAAAAAAAAAAAAAAAAAAAAGAATCCACAAAAGCTGACAGGACTTCAGCACTAACCCAATCAACCAGGCACAGATTTTTAAAAGAAAAATTCCTTAATTCTAATGTTGACATATGTGAACATTTCTAAGTTCTATTGTATTTTTTCAATCCACCAGATTAAATCTCTCTTTCACTAATGAGTTAATCTACTCATATGTATTATAATTACTGGATTTTGACTTTTTTCTACTCTCAGAGAATTCCAACAAGCCCTTTTGTGTGTGTGTGTGTATGTGTGTGTGTCCTTTTTCTTCTTTTGGGCTTTGAGTTGCTATTTCTTTCACTAGTAGCTCTACCATTGTAATTCTGGGTTATTACAGATTTCTCTCTTGTTCTTTCCCTTGGCCAGCGAGTACACTTACACTCCACACACACACACATACACATTCTTTTTTTAACCCAACAAACTTTACCCCTGTTGAGTCTTCTATTATAACTTTGTAGCATTTCTTAAATTTATTTCTTAGTACCTTGTCTGAAAGTATTTCAACATATTACATCTTTTTTGGACATGCCTGAGAGTATTCTTATTTCAACTCAACAATGAAGTGACAATTTAGATGGACATATATCTAGTTAAAAACTTCACAGTCAGGGGTGGTGGTATACACCTGTAATCTCAGCTCTCAGGATGCTGAGGCAGGAGGATCACCGTGAGTTTGCGGCCATCCTGGAATACATAGTAATCAAGGCTAGCCTGGATTATATAGTAAGACATTGTCTAAAAAAAAAAAAAAACCTCAAACAAAAAACCAAAATCTTAAAAGAAATCATCACACTGTCACCTTGTATCAGCTCTACTGTGGAGAAGTCTGACACATTCTGCGTGGCTTCGTCATGTTCTGCTATGATGGCAGATAAGCTTGCCATGCTGGGGGTGCCTGCAGACCCAGCCCCAGCCCCAGTCCCAAGAGCCTGCCTCTGCTTCCTCAGACAACCACTGTGCCCACACATAACCCTTTACCTGAGCCTGCTGTCCAGATGCTCTTCTTTCCCATCTCTCTCAATAATCCTTTTAAAGGTTCTATTTCTTTTTTGTTGTTGTTGTTTTTCTGGTACCGGGAATCAAACTCACAACCTTGTGCTGGCCGGACAGGCGCTGCACCGCTGAGCTAAATCCCCAGCCCCAAAGGTTTTATTTCTTTATTTCTCAAGTAGTTTCTTAATCTGATCTTATATTTTATCAACCCATTCTCTAGCTGTTATTATATTCATCCTGTCTGCTGTGTTCTGTTTAAGCAGTTACTCTGGGACGACTGTGATTTCACTCCATGTTGCCAACATTCCTGGCTACTCTTTTTCACAGCACAGGTGCAGCTGGCTGCAGCCTTCCCTTCAAGGTCCTCAGCTCTTCTCATCAGGCACAAGAGACTCACCTCTCTACTGATGCGATCTCCTCACACCCTGCTGACTGGCTGCCCAGGCACAGGTGGCCACCTTGTCATAGGCCCACAGACACCTGCACCAACAGACACCTGCACCTAGATTCTGCTGTGAGAGGCAGGTCCCTGGTGGAGGGGCACCTGTCCCAGGCTCCCACACCCAGAGCCTGCTGTGTGGTCATCCTGAGTGGGTGACCACATTCCCTGCGGCCTGTCCTCAGGGTTTCTGCACATAGAGGCAGACCTGCAGCCTGCTTGGCAGAATTCCCTAGGGATTTCTTTGGGGGCTACTGAAAAGCAGGCTCTAGCCTGACTCACAGTTTGATAATTAAAGGCACTCCTTGAGAAGTGTAAAATTTCAAAAGGCAGCAGACTGAATGGACCATTAGGAGAAGGACTTCATGCAGGGCAGAGGCCGGGCAGTGGGAGGAGCTACAGGAAATCCCCTCCATGCCCAGAGGTCCAATTACCCCCTCAGAGGAAATGGGAATGTCTACAGGCCCTGCTTAACATATATAGAAAAGCTTCATGGATTTTACCCCAGAAGAAATCTAGAGTGCTGTGTATGTCTCAATAACTTTACTAGAAATGAGAATTTGCCTTCAGTGATTTCACAGAGAAGGCCCTGCTCTAATTTAATCTGCATTTTTAGGCTATGATGAAGAGGGACCCATTTCTATTGACTCACCATCTTTCCCCAGCAGCTGCCTGTCCCTTGTCCCTTTGCCCAGTCCACTGGACCCTCTTAAGGAATTAAACGCACTCTTTGGACAGTGAGGACATTAACTCTGGTACCACTACTGCAAATATTTTCATGTTTGTTTGTGAAGTTTTTCAGCTTTTAGGTTGTGCAAGTGCAGGCTGACTGGGCTTTCCTTTCACCATACAGATGTCTCACTCTCTAGTGTGGAACCTAAAACCCAGGACACAGGGCTCCACAGCACATCACCTGCCTCTGTAGACAAACTTCATGGGCTCCACGGCCAGGGCAGTGGCCACCACATCATCTGCATTATGTCTGCGCACTCCCACAATCATCAGCCCATCCAGTTTGCCCACGATGAAGATCAGGTTATCCTGTGGGAAAGGATATGGTCAGGGCCAGCCAAAAGCACACAGAACTGCACATCTCACAGACTCGAAAGAGCTGTAGGCACCTTCCAGCAAAGAGTGGGCATGAGCTGCAGAGTGTCTGCCGGGAGATATGTGGGGCAGTTAGCTTGCAAAGGACTCTCGACACCACTGGGTAAAGGCAGAGTTCCTAATTCTGGTGCTGTGCTGAGGAAAATGCTGCCCTAGGTGCCAACCTGTGCATGGTGGGTGCTGAGCAGCACCCTGGCTATTAGATACCCACAGCTACCAGCAGCACTCTCCTCCCCTGAGCAGGGACCTCCATACGTCCCCTCAAAAGGAGGCAAAATCACCCAGGTAAAAATCTCTGGGCCAAGATAGCACAAAAAAAGTGTTTCTTTTAAAATATTTTAGACATACAAAATGGTCAGGAATGATACCACAAATAGCCACGTACTTGTCACCCTGTATAAAAGGAAAACAATTTCACCCCAAAGAGCCCCAGTATCTGTGGGCGTGGGGCCCAGTCCCACAGAACTATGCACAGCCTGCACACAGACAACGTGGTGGGCAGGAATGGGCAGTATGGAAAGCAGGGTAACAGGGACACACTCATCTGCAGCAAAGTGTCCTTCATTCCTGCCCGACCTCCCAAACAAGAGGACATACTCACAGGCCCGATGAAGCCCAGCAGGCCTGTCCTGGTGAAAGGCCTCTCAGAGACAGGGACTCCTCCTGCAGTGACTGGAACAGTCTGCAGAGCAAAAGGGGGACATGAGCCTGTGGATGGTGACCGGCTGCCATAAAGACAGCACTCCTGCCAGGGTCTGGCTGTCACCCTATTCCATGGAGGGAAGATGCTCCGAAAGACAGGGTCTCCGGGCTTCCATACACCCTGTGGCCTGTTAGCTTGGCTTGCTGCTCCATGACGGGCAGGGTCTCTTGGGCAGGACTCCAGTGCCCCTCACACCTGTGTGCACCTGGCCTCTGCTCTGCCCACAGCACCCTGTACCCCTGCAGCCCGCAATACTCATGGGTCGTGATTTCAACAGGAAGATCTGGAAAAGGTACAAACCTCAAATACATTTTTGGTGATTCCAAGCAACCCATAGTATGCTGTCCCAGTTGCACTGGAATTCACACAAATTTCTCCAACTTCATCAGTTTTACAAAGATAAGGGGTACCTTCTATCTTCACAACACACACACTAGCTAAAAAGGAAAAAATTCAGTCACATATGAAAAATATATTTACTTTAGAAGCCACCTTGAAGATACCAAAGTATAGTACAACAACTCTTGATAATCTCCTACCTCTTTTGTCTGTAACTCACTATTATTTGTCTATTTGTTTTCCTGAGAAACTATTTTGTAGA